TTTTCAATGGGAACACCACCGCTGCGACGAGATCAACGAGACATCTTGAACTGATGCTCAGACATCTTGAAATAATACTAGGACAACTTTAAATGATACCCGTACATCTTGTAATGATATTCGGTCAAATTGAATTGTAAAATATCATTTGAGTACTACTCTTATTAGCTCATTGGTCAGCAGCTTGTTGGCTCGTTGTATCTTACGCGGTCCAAGACACTGCAATCGAATCAATCCCTTGGATTCTATGTGGCATTCACCTGGTGTTAAATATAGGGCAAATGGAATCCTTCGATCACATGCAGCGTTGAAACTGCAAAATATTGATTTGTTACAAAGCTTGCATTAAATCTGTCTCACTCTCCAACCAGACTCGGCTTACTCATACCTAGTTTGGTACCGAACATACTTGTGCCTTTCCTCTATTACCTCTTGATTCGTATCGTTCCCAATCTTCTTCCATAGTGTCTGAGTTGACCCCACGAGTCTATCGATCGGGACAACTGTTATCCTGTCAACCGTGACCCATATCGCTTTGCCCGTTTATTCGATCACTTTACCCTCTCCACGAGGTCCACTTTGCATCTCCCGGGTCCACCAACAGCACACTGTTGCTGACTTTGGATCACATTGTCACACGTGCTCTGTGTTCTGCTCGCTTTTCGAGAGCCATGCACACACGCACGTATACACAATACACGCCTGTCACTGTGTGATGAGTGACCGAATTTGTGTTCACCCAACTCACTTGTGTGATTAGCTCTGCTTGGAGTGATTCCTGCCACTGTCCGACTGAATGAATCTTGTTTTACTGTTTACTCTGCTCATTTCCCCCTTTTAAAACAGCGGTGCGCTGTTCCGTTTTTTTTAACCGTCATGATTGTAAGGTGGATTATGACACAGTTGAGCGTTATCCTCTTCGTGCATAACGTACTCATGTGTAAAAGTACCTTGACGGCTATATTAAACCTACCAGTCAAGGTTTGGGCATTTTCATCTTTGTTAATTGCTTGATATCAACAGTGCCGTACTCCCAGATATTCTTGTATTCCATTGCTCCGTTGCCTTGCGTACCCTTTTATCGTCAGGTTTCATACGAAAAGGCATCCTTCTAATCCTACAAAAAATTATCTAGCAGCATTTTATTTTATATCCTATCTCTTTTACTTTCATCTATTGAATAAACGATAAAACAATTTCCAGGAAAAGGAAAGTGGTCAAAAAAACAGATAATGAGGGGATTCAGGAAGTGACGATGGGCTTCCAACACATCTAGAACGGGCCGATTAATTGATGACCTTTGATGGTTTACTTAGTTTGACTCAGAATCGTTGAGACTTTGACCTCAGGCTCAAATGTCTATCTATCCTTTCGAGAACGCATACAAAGAAAACGCTTGATCCGAGTCTTCCCACCCTCTAGTCAAATCACGAAAAGCATTTTACATGCCCCAGCTTGGTGAATCCTTAGCAGTTGAATAATTTGTGTATATTGACTTGGAAATTAATGAAAATTAACAATTTCAGCACTGTGATGCCGAAGAAATCCAAATGTGCACTTTTTTCCTACTGTGAACGAAAAGTTTACCGCAATCAACAAAGGGATGAGCAACGCATGCAATGGCATTGTTTCTGCCTGAGTACCAAAAAATAAGATTTTCTTTTGATCAGAGAAGAAAATATGAGAGCTGTGATCATTGTAGAATAATGCCAGCTATTCAGCCTGTGTGCATAAAATCACAGTCTTCAGACGTAGATCATGATAGATTATTGGTGAAAGTAACACCGCTAGTTTTAAAAGAATCACATCCGAGAATGCTCTCTTAATAGCGATAAAAAGATTAGGGAAACTGCCGGATAAATAGAGATAATACGGGTTACATTCGATACTGAAAGAACCATAAATCCATTTGCTGGGGTTTCGTTTAATGGTTTCTAACATGTGCACATTGTTACTAGGGGATAGTCAGTATTCAATAGCGATCTTTAACCAAGGAGGCGGCTATCTTTCATGTATACCCTGGGTCTCACAGGAACCATGGTTGAGCAAAACATTTGAAATTTTGGGTCTCCAGTTGCAATCAGAAAGCCGATGGGTAATAACTTTTTTTCGAGGGACAAACAAAGACCTATTAATATTGCGTGGCATCATAGTTTTCTCCTTCTGAAACCAACAACTGCACCGCTTGAATTTACTTACTCTTTGAGGGGCTTTAAAAAGGTTCACTGAATTAATCATTTATTTATTTTTGTTACTATAATTATGCGTTTCTGGGTCACTATCTGATCCCATGAGCGAATCATGAGGAGTTCCACAAGTATCCTTGCTTGGCCCTCAACTTTTCCCTGTTTTTATAAACGACCTAACGGACAGTCTGAGGACACATACATTAATATTTGCAGACAATGCAAAAATATGGAAAACGGAAACAAAACTAGAGAATTAGCTAGCACTACGCAGAACACTTAGTATTGCCCATTAATGGTCGATCGAAAATGGAATCTAACGCATCAAAACGTACGGTCGTGCCCGTCCGCAACAAAACTCGGTTTCCGTATTTCCTGTCTCGAATAAGAATGATCTCGGTGTCACTGTCCAAGATGACCTAAGTTCTTTAAACTGCTCCAGGCTGTCGTAAGACATGTTGGTTTCCTAAAGCGAGTACTTGGCAAATTTTAACCTGCGCTGTTTCCACGGTTGTTATCAGCATACATTCGGCCTCACATGGAGTATGCAATTTAAGCGTGGAATCCATGACTGCAATGCGATCGGAAGATTCTGGGACGTTCAAAAAGAATGGACACCAAAATGGTCAAGGGACTGCATTCCTATGGTTACGCGGAAAGACTGGAATCATTGCAACTGTACTCCACACAGTATCGTCGCATTTGACGGGATTTGATCTTAGTGTATCAAGTAATGCAGGACCCAGATAACCCATGACGTTCATTCTTTGTCTTGCCGTCCAACACTCAACTGAGGGTGCCCTCATTCAAATTAGTGCTCCAAAAATGCCGACTAGAATGCCGGAGTCATTCATTTGCCTCCAGAGTGTACACTACTTGAATTTCTCTACCACCACACGCTATTTCTGCGCTCACAATTGATTCAGTCTTCAGGATTGAGGGCAGAGGGCAGGGTGCCCGTGTAAGCCCCATCACCACTAGGTCGAAGGTGGGATCACAAGTTTTCGTCCCTCCATAGCCCCTTCAGGTGCTCATCTAGACGCCGTTTGAAAGCAGCGTTTGTCTTCTCTTCCACCGCAATCACCGGAAGGGAAGTCCAAAGTGTTGTTGACCTACGCGAGAGTCGGTAGACTAACGGAAGACCAACTGACTGAAGTTTCCGCAACGTGAGAGAGAGACCCCGCGTGCGGTCCTCTGTCCGTAAAGGGAAGTACTTTTGCAACTCCGGGCCCATATCACCTCTCAGGATCTTCCTCAGACAAATGAGATCTCCCCTGAGGCGTCGATACGCAATTGGGAACAGACCAGTAGCCTGTAGACGACCTTCATAGTTGGTCCCGCGTAGTCCAAAAACGAGTCTAGTGGCAGCACGTTGTACGCGCTCCAACTTAGCCAGTTCACCGGCCATGCAGGGGTATGTCGCCGCACCACCATATCCAAGTCTTGGTCTGATATTGGAAGCGTACAGCAGCCTGAAACCGTCCATCGTGAGCTGGGTGAAAGACGGCCGAATAGGCCCCAGAATGCTCTATGCGCTAGCACAGACCCGATCGGTGTTTTCTCTGGTCTTTAGTGATGACCTAACCATAACACCCAGGTCTCGTTCGCAGGATGTTCTGCGCAATGTGGTTCCCTGGAAGTTGCAGACCACCTCTGAGTCAGCACGCCCCAAATGCAGGTGAGCACACTTTGCTGTGTTGACTGGAAGAGCCCAGATGTCCCCCATTGAACCAGGTTGTTCAAATCCGCTTGAAGAGAACTTTGATCATTCGGATCCTTGATTGTACGCCAGATTTTGATGTCATCCGCAAACATGAGGGATGGGCCGCACATTTGACCGGGCATGTCGTTCACATATACCAAAAAGAGCAGTGGACCAAGAACAGTGGGGGACCCCACTGAGAGCAGAATACCATGCAGAGAGCGATTTGCCAACACGGACGCAGAATTTCCAATCGATGAGGAAGTCTCGCAGCCAATTCCGCGTTACCACACCTACACCTAGGTTGGACAGCTTTCGCAGGAGGTCGTGCGGCACCTTGTCGAAGACTTTGCTGAAGTCCACGAAGATGATATCCGTTTCGTGTCCTTTGGCCTTGTCCTCGGTCCAGCATTCACGTGCAAGTAGCAGGTTTGAGAGGCATGAGCGACCCGGCCGGAAACCGTGTTGTTGGTGGCACAGGTGACCGTGGCACACCAAATGCTGCCGAAGCCGAGCAGCCACCAGTCACTCCANCCACAACGCTAGTAAGGCTGACTGGTCGGTAGTTCTCAGGGTCATTCCTGTCTCCAACTTTGGGCAGCGGAACGATGACATCGTCCTTCCACTGCCACGGTAAACGCCCTTGAATGAAGGTTGCACAGTGGCGCTGCAAGTTCATCTGCCAGCTACTTCAGGATCAGCGGATGCACACCATCAGGTCCAGGTGAATGGTGAACCTTTAGTCGACGCAGCCCCAGGGCCACCTCTCCGATGGTAAATGGGGCCCATTTCAGCGCAGTGTCAGTGTCCAGTAGATGTGCCAGTGTGCTGCAGGCTGGGGTGTACACTGAGGCATAATGTGACGCCAGCATCTCCGCTTTGTCCTCATCTTTTTCGGCTAGTGCCCCATCTTTAGCGAGAGTCGGGAGACAAGGCGTTGCTCTGATTCTTCGCCTGTGTTAGGCATACAATCGCTTGGTGCTTGTACTGAATTCGCTGCTAGTCGTTCCTCGAATCTGGTTCTCTTGCATTCTTTCAGTGCAGTACAATGATTCCGAATACATCGATATTCCCCATATCATGCGCTTGTTGAACGGGACCTGGACCAGGCTCTATTCCGCTGCCGGAGGCACACCCGCAGTTCTCGGCGGACCCATAGCTTGTGTTTGGTGGCGGTGAAGTGGAGAGAATTCCAGTACGAGTTGCTGGATGCTATGACGAACCAACTCCCAGGATATATCCACATCCTCAGCGTTCCGGGAATCCCAATTTCTGGGCGATGCAGTCTGACGCATATCCGGAAAGGATGAACGCCACACATTCCGTCCGTCCTGTTTTCTGTCTGTTTCGAGTACGCCACGCCTCCAGTGTATACGCAGAACGGAGTTATCACTAGATGCAATTGGTGGAAGGAGGTCAATCCTAGTTGTATCCGATTGCCTTGGCGAAAATGAATGGATCTTTGATCCCCAACTATCCGCATGGGCACATGAACATGGTGAACAAGCGACAGGGCCTGGACAGCGAAAAGAAGTTCTCTGGAGAATAAATCTGCATGCTGAGAGCAGATGTCAGTTTCCCAATCAACATGGAGCGCGTTGAAATCACCCAACATAAGACAATGTCCATCGCAGGCGTACCTCTATATGCTGGTCAGCAGCTCTGGGACGTACACAGCTGGTGTGCGGTAAATCACTCCAACTGTGGTATACCCTCCTGCACAAAGCTTGATTCTGCACCACAGGGCTTTCCCAAATCCTTCCGGATGGGCGTAATTCTCTAGCACTCGAGAGACCCGAGTGGACAAAAAGAACAATTCCACCACCGCGACGTCACGATGATCGATCCGTTGGAAACACTTTGTATCCGTGGAGTGATATTTCGGAGTCCCGGACATCCGATGTCAGCCAGG